TAAACATACTGAAGTATAAATTAAAAAAAAAAAAACATCTGGCCATTTAGACAGCTGTATAAAAGTTTGGATATTTCTTATGAAAGAAGCAGTGTCACTCTGGCAACTATTGATTACATATTCCACCGCGGATTCCTCGTTTCCACTGATAGCAGTTTATTAACCTGGCAGCAGGTCATGTCATACATGCCGCCTTCAGACAAAAACACAAAACATGCTGGTTAAAATGAACAAAAGTGGAAGTAAGTGAATAAAAGTCATATGATTGAATGAGTGAATGAATGAAGCCATCTTCTGGTTGTTTGTTTGTTTGTTTGTTTTTTTAAAGTACAAGTTCTATCAGCATCGGTCCTCTTTTTTTCTGCCACTTGTGACACCCCACACAAAGATTCTAGGTCTGACCAACTGTCTCAGCCGTGGGCAAATTCTGATTCATTCCTTCAATTTTGTTTAAATTGCAAATTTTTTTTTTTTCATCCTCTTCCCTGTTTTTATTTATGGTAATTAGTTGGTTATCGCTGATATTCAGAAACATGAACAGTGACTCTGTCAGTATTTGCAGATGTCCACAAGGTGGCACTATTCCATACACATGTACATGGTACAAATTCTGGTCCTTACGGTAATATTACGGTAATAATGAATGAAATATCAGTTTATTTTAATATATGCGGCAGCACCGGCTCTCTGTTTAAATTTTTTTAATTATAACATATTATAGGCATCCTGCACAGATCACATGACTTCATCACTAAGGCCAGATGGTGATGATAATGTTATTTTCTGTTGTCTCTCTTCAGATCACAGTGTGCCCAGGTGCCAGGTTGTGGGACGCTGCTGTTTTCAGCCTCTTTGTTGGTGTTGACAGCTGGCTGCTGCTGGTAGCGATGCTCATAATAACGAGGCTTTTCCTGTTCTTCATCAGTCCACTGCAAATAAAGCTCCCTCAAATCTGTTAAAATAAGGACAGATAAAGATCAGACCTGGAGAATGTTTTCAGACAGGATTGTGTCAGCTACACAAGGATAAATAGAAAGAATTAGATCTCCTTTGTAGTCAATATACTGTAGACAGCTCAATGGTAAACTGACACATTCTTATATAGTGCTTTAAACAGCACAGAAAAAGCACTTTTTTCTATTTCTAAGTGCTTTCTATCTAACATTCACACTGAGGTGAATGCATCGGGAGCAACTGATCTCAAAGCTCCAAGTGTATTTGATGTCAGCTAATCTATGCTAATGCCACTGCTATTTGTGTAACTAATAATGGTATTTTATTTTTAATCTTGTCTTAAGACAGTCATTACATCAGCAGAGCAGGTTTAAATCTGTCTGAACTACTTTGTGGAGTCTATCTACATCAGAAATGAATGCGCAGGAGGAAGGTGTGAACCTACAAGGAGTGGGCATGTGTGGTTTTGAAGGGAAGAGGCCTCGTCTGCTCTCATAAAGAACAAAGCAAATGTGACACTTAGAACAAAGACTTGCTTCAGCAAATATATTTAAATATAATCTGTGGTCTCCAGTTAGAGATGTTCAAGAGGTAACCAAAAACTCAAATGCAAACTGTCCTAATTTGGATGATTATTAATAATTTAGACATAAAATATAAATGTATGTTTTTCTGAAATGACTTCTTCTTAAAACCTGACAATACAAATTGATTTTTTTTTGTTAATGCTACAGCGTCCTGTGCTCTGCTCCCTCACTGTTCAACATTAAACTAAATGAAAAAAACATTGCTAGTTTTCTTGTTGTTTTTCTACGCATTGCTGTCTAAGGAACGTAAATGAAATAAAACTGGAGAAGAAACTGAATATCCCATCATGTATAAAATTAAAAGTGTATTTTATTTCAAATAAGTGAGAATAAATACCTCTGTGAGTGTAATGTGGCAAATAAAGTATGTATTCTTAATTTCAGGAGATTCGGGGTGTCCCATGAAGCAAGATCAATGGGTTATTGAGATAAGCTGAACGTGAATCAGAGCTCAAACTCTGCATCATGTTGTCACTGAAACTTTTAAGTACTCCTGTTTGGACGTCTATGCAGAAAATGTTCTTTGTTTTTGTTTTTTATATCTCTATATTTATACCCACACTCTATACTGGTACTCAGGTTGTTGCACTCTACTTATAGTATTATTTATTGTATTGACTTATTACTTGTCATTTCTGTTTGTTAAAAAAACAAAACAAACAAAAAAACCCAACTAATTTATTTATTATAAAAAATTTTTTTCTTCATTATTTTTGTTTCTTTTCACTCCGGGACCGTGTGTACATAATTTTCGTTCCACCTCATGTTAACATGTGATGTGAATGGGAATACTGTAATGGTGTTGAGGAAGTGAGCATCAGTGCCTAACTGCAGTGCAAAAGCAATTGCATCCCCATGTCACACATATGAAGCTTAGCACAATACTATATCTTAAAGTGTGTGACATTTGCCAAGTATAAAAGCTCTTTTATAGCGGGCTTCCCTCGCTTACGGCCATACCACCCTGAACACGCCCGATCTCGTCTGATCTCGGAAGCTAAGCAGGGTCGGGCCTGGTCAGTACTTGGATGGGAGACCGCCTGGGAATACCAGGTGCTGTAAGCTTTTGCACTTCCACACACAAACTGCAGAGGGCGCTGATGCTCACTCAGTCTCTCAACATTACTCTATGCTATTAAATTTGTATTCCGCATGATAATCAGCCCAACAAAATAAATAATCAAATTTCTAACATTTGTGTTAGTGTTTTAGTGTGAGGCAAGAGAAACCAGTGAAACAGTTATTTTATCAGTAACAGTATCCATGGAAAGAAGTCCACCATAAATGATAAAGTTATAAAGTTATCCGAAATTATTATTATTGTTATCAGTTTGATGTGAAAGTACAAAATAAAATTATTTAGTAATTAGTAGTTTCAGCACTTAGCTGTGATAAAGTAGTAAATGTATCATTATTAAAAGATAGTAATTTATTACAGGACAGAGTCAAAGTGGTCGAGAGCACAGAGTCTGCACAGTGATTTGATATAAGTTTATAATGTATTCTTATATTTTGGTGTATAAAACCCCAAATATCAGCTAGTACAACTGTCTATCTATGTGTTTAATCATGATATATTCAAAACAAATACGCAGACATTATTTATTTTAACCTGGAAATCTGAGAGACATTTACAGTTATTCTAGTGTGTACTGTAGGACAGAAAGTTAGCCTCATTATGTGCCCGTGCTTCCTAAACACTTTGAGTTGCAACACTAACTGAAATCAAATAAGTGTGACTGTTATTAGCTGACAGACCCTTCCCCTCCTCAGATAAGTAAGACAGTGAGTGAGGAATTCATACTTCATGTATACGTAGATCAACCTGTAGATCCATGAAGTCTAATCTGAGCTGTCTGTTCAATTCAAATCCCTCTTTTCCATGATGTGTGTCCTGTAGTGTACTGTCCAACTACTCTGTCCACATCCTTTCATCCTTTAATCCTGAAGCACTCATCCTCTCTCTATGTGCAGCAAACTCTGAGTCTTAATCTGTTTTCTGTCTCATTTTTTATTTAAACTGGATCAAATGTAACAAGTCACTTGGATGAGTGACGAAACGTTTGTCCCACCGACAACGCTACGTCCAGATGAACAGAATCAACTTTTTGGGATTTCCTTACCTGGATCATTGAGCCATGCATCAAGTCATAAACAGTGATACGCTGTCAGTATATGCAGATGTCCACAAGGTGGCATCATTACATTACACATGCACGTGCACATAGGCTACTACAAACACAGTTGTGACATTTTACAATTCACATCACACCTGGAGTTTGATGTTTTACAGTGAAGGGAATCACTGGAAGGGTTTTGGGAGTCGGCCCACACGTTCTACTACTATAAATGTGACTTATGACTTCCCCGTGCACTTTTTAATCACTGCAAGCATCTGCACATGATCTGAACTTTGATTATATGGATTTTATATACATCCAGCATGTGGTACAGAAGCAGCAACAAATATATTGTCCAGTGCACAGTTGTGGGAATCTTTAAATCTGAAAGAAGAAAAAACACATGAAAA